AGGATCAACCTGGGATTAGTGACAATAAATAGCATGAGGGCAGAATTTTCTAGATATCAGTCTTTGCCTCAATGATCTGGTCTTCCTTGAATAGTGTGTCTAGTTTATGTGAGCCTGATGATTTCCGAGTTCTCCGTTTCTTCCTTCATCAGACAAAGGTTTCATTTATCCAGGGCAGGAGTATGTCCAGATTGCCAGCCTTATTACCAAGGTTCTCAGGCTGAAGCCAGGCAGACCAAGGAAAGGGAAGCGAGGCTCAAAGGCATTGGTTAACAGCTAGTCTGACCACCAGGTGGCGCTTTGCTTCTGAATAGTGTCCTGTGCTTTCAGGCTACCGTGTAACAAATAAGCCTGTTGGTATGGCCTAGCCAGTAAGCCTGATGGCGATCCCCAGAATCCACATAAAAGCTGGCTGGGGTGCACATCTGTAATCCCAGCACTCCTGTTACAAGATGGGAAATAGAGTCAGGAGGGTAGCCCAGAAGCTCACCAGCCAGCTGGCCTAGAGTACACTGCTTGGCACAAAAAAAAAAAAAAAAAAAAAAAAAAAAAAAAAGACCCTGCCTGAACAAGGTGGAAAGCAATAACCCAGGCTGAGAGATGTCCTCTGATGCCCACACTCACAAGCACATAGTGGCACACACCTGAACATTGGGTGGGCATGGGGTGCACTAATAATAAATCCAAATTTTTATATAAAGTTCCCTTTCCCTGTGAAATGTAAACTGTAGTCATTAAAGGTGCCAGGAGGATCAGGCAATAGAAAATTAAGAAAGAATTAACAAACGCTGGCAGCTTCCTACGTTTCAAGCAATGAGATAGGGAATATTTATAACCATGGCTCCTAGTTTCTCATCTTAACAAGTAGGTTTCATGTATTTTTTGGCAAGTTTCTTGTTTCTGACACTCAAAACCAATTCTACCACCTTTCTCACCCTTTGAGGGGGCCTCTGGGAAAACCACTGGTGCTATTGTGATGGGTCACTGAGAAACACAGAGATGGGCTCCATTCCCTGTTGTGTTATACTGGCCAACAGGAAAGAGGACTTCTTTTATCCAGTATGAATGATGTCTTAACCAAGAAAAGAAATCTGAACACAGCTATAAGATGGCCATCTGTCAACTAATGAGGCCTGGGATTCAGCCTGGCCTCATAGCATTACAAGGAACCATCCATGCCAATACTAATGGATGTGGCTAAACTTCAGAGCTGTGAGACAATACATCCTAGGGTCTAAGTCTCATAGCCTGTGTCTTTTTGCTATAGCCCAGGTAGCTCAGTCAGTAGAACATGAGACGCTAAATCTCAGGGTTCTGGGTTCATGGCCCAAGTTGGGTACCAAAATGTAAATAGAGTTCTTAATTGGTCTAGATAATCAAAAGCCAGAGTCACATATAGAGGAAAACGCTAAGAGATCAAAGAGAAGGAACAAGTGACTGACACACCTTACCTCCTTAGTGTCTCAGCAGATAAGAGAGCGATTTCCTCTTTCTCCCCACTTATGTTTCTGCCCAGCTGCCTCACTTCCTGTCTGTCTGTACAGACCTTCAGACCTCTATGGTTAGCTAGTGGCAAACTCCATTCTCTGACCCTCAGACAGGCTTTATTTGTACAAGCAAGATATAACTACAGTTTCTTTGATGAAGGCTAAGAACCACTAATGTTTGGGACTAAAGAGAAGTACATAGAATGCAGTTATAAGTTATACTGGTTTAGGAAAGTGGCAGAAGTTTCTTCTCTAAGGTCTATGATCTTATCACCCCCAGGTAGTTGGTTCGGTTTACAGAACTAGGCATGAATTTTCTCCTACTGAGTGGGTCTTAAACCCAATTAGACAGCTGTTGGTTGCCCCCACCCCCCACCCCAAGTTACTATTGCACCCTTGGGAACATCTCCCTATGCCGGTTATTGTGATTTGTAGGATTTACAGCTGAATAGGATTATTGATTGTTTGTTCCCTTGTCCATTTGCAGAGATGCAGATATTATGATAGCTAGTCCTCATCAAGGAGTCTTTCAGGTCTGTTCCAACTCAATTCTTCCAAATTTTGTGTTTGAAATACATGATATCTTCATCAATAGGGTCTTCCTTTCAAATTCTGGCAGAGGTGGGCAACAAAAGTCAGTGGCAATAGCCAACATTATTTGGAGGTGCTCTTTGGTTTCCTTGGCCAACTCTAAATTGTCTACAGTGCTTATATATTTATTAGTAGTGTCCATATATCTGTGTATCTATAGCATTTTAGTGTCCATGGTGTGGAAGATGGAATCCAGGATCTTGCACATGCTGGAAAAACACTCTACTGCACACATGCTGAATTTTGTGCTGAACCTTATTATTAATGTTGAAAGTTTTAGGTTTGTAAAAAGTAAGGTTTTTTTCTCCTGCCGCCTAGTCTTGTCCCGCCACCGCACCAGCTCCAATTAACTCACAAAGACTCTGTATTTGATATGATGCTGTTGGCCAGGTACTAGTTTCTTATCGGCTAGCTCTGCCTTAATTATTAAACCATTTCTGCTAATCTAGTATTTCCACATGGTCTTCTCTTACCGGGAAGCTGGCAGGCATTCTGCTTTTTCCAGACTCTCCATCTTGACTCCCCTCCTTCCTCCTTCCTCTTTCCTCCTTGTCTCCTAGTCCCTCCTATCTTCCTTTCCTATTGGCCAACAGTGCTTTATTCATTAACCAGTATGAGAAGCATATATTCATAATGGCATCTCCCATCATCTTCTCTTTTCTGTCTAAATAAAAAGAAGGGTTTTAACCTTAACATAGCAAAATATATTACACAACAGTTATCAAGTAAGAATCACAGTTAACAATGTTTAGACCATTAATATTTAGCAAGATTTGAAGAAAATATTCCATCATCTATCCTATCTTTGTGTGTCTAAAGTCTAAGTAACTTATCTTTAATACTAAGGAAAACTATAACCATAACTATCTGCCTTCAACTCCTTCAAAGACCAAAGAAGGATAGTATATAAACTCTAGAAATGACAGAGACATATGTTTCATTTTGTTCTTCTAAATTGATCTCTCTCTCTCTCTCTCTCTCTCTCTCTCTCTCTGTGTGTGTGTGTGTGTGTGTGTGTGTTGTGTGTGTGTGTGTGTGTGTGCACGCATGCATATTTAAAGAGGCAGTGAACTTGGTCATACTCACAGTTGAAAAACAATTTATTCTCTGCAGTGTTTAGCAGCTTAAAATTATATTCAGTTCCTTCATCTCAAGGATATATAAATTCTATAGATTCTGTACATCAGGAATCAACTAGAAATCTGTGCAAAACTTGTTCACAGAATTTAGGTTCTCTTTTTATTTCCCTCCATGTGTTTTTGTTCATACAATGAGACATCCACTTAATTTCATTCTTTCCTCACACATGAAGATAACTCTAATTTCTGTCTACTTTAGTTTCTTACAAGTACTCTTATATTTTTTTATTGTAGATGGTTAATCATTGATATCTGTTGTAATATCAATTTGCTTGTTTACTTGTTTGGTTTTGAGACACGTCTCACTATATAGCTCTGGATGATCCAGATCTCACTATATAGACAAGACTGACCCTTAACTCATGGTGATTTCCCCTACCTCCTTTGCGCTGGAATTGGAGGCATGCACCACTACATCTGGCCCAGAATGCTGATCTTACAGAAACCACTCCATTACAATAATTCTGTTCCTATCTATCAACTATTTGATGAAATTCTTCCAGCCTTTGGCATGCACTATCTACATATAAACTTTAATTAAATTAAAAAAACTCTCCATATGCTACTGTATAATAAAATGCCAAAGGGGTACCTAGAGTACTGTAAAGGGGTATTTTCTATTTGAGTCAGTGCACAAGCTCCAGTATGAGTTTGTTCTGCCTCAGACCATTGTTGCTGGCTGGAGCCAAACATGTTGACAGTAGAAATCAAGACAGAGGATTTGCAAAGAGCTGTGTATTCCTTTAGCTGGAGCTACTTCCAGAATGAATGTGTGACAGTGAGCACAGTGACTAACAGCTAAGAATTATGCCCAAGTAAATCTAGGTTCAAATGCTCTTTCAATCATTTCCTGCCTGTACTGAGCTTGGTCATCTGGCTGGAATTCTTAGTGTCAACATTCACATTAGTAAAATGGTGATGATAATAGTGACTTCTACATAGTCTTTTATGATGTGAGTTGGCTCAATGTAAAAGGACTAAAATATAGCTAAGTCCAGTATCTGGTCAATGTGGTGGTTCAAATGAGAATTGCCCTCCTAGACCCATATACTTGATTGTTTGGTCCCCAGTTGGTAGAACTAGAACTGTATGGGAAGGATTAGAGTGTCTGGTTTTATTGGAAGAAGTGTATCACTGTAGATGGGCTTGGAGGCTTCAAACGTCCATTCCAGGTTCAATCTCTCCCCACTGCTCTCTCTGCCTCTCCTTTATGGATAAGATATAAGCTCTTAGCCACTTGTCCAAGAGGACCATGCCTGTCTACCTGTTGTCACACTTATCACCATGGTGGTGGTCATAGACTCTACTACCCTTTAGAACCATCAGTCTATCTTTGTGTGTTATATGCCTCTCAAGAATTATCTCATGTAAACTATCCTGCAAACAAAATCTTTAGAATTTATCATTTTCATTTTACAAATAAAGTGAGGAATGGGACAAGGGGGGTCGTCCAGGAAGAGACAGGTGTTGCAGGCAAAACTGAGGCTCACACCAATGAGCTCTCTGTGGCTCTGGAGCAAGGGTCTTAGCTATGAAGCTGTGTGGTCCTTCAGCTGTCATATAGATGAAAATGAGGTGTGCAGACAGAAAAGGGGAGCAGGTTAGCTGCAGAGAACTTATGAAGATTCCCTCTCTTCTCCTGTTCCACCTGGAGTAGTCCACAAACACTGGGAAGGTTATACACAATCTTTTTCCTAGCTGGCTGTCCCTTCTGGAAGCTTGCACCACTTTCTGCCCTCTCCACTGAACATCTCCTCCCCCGACAGCATCATCCAATTCCTGGAGTTATCTGCTCAACATTCTCCTCACCCAGGGGCCAAGTTCAACTGCTCTGTGCTGAGTCCTGGGTAGGACTGTCACAGAGGGCAGATTCTTCGAGCCTCCTTTCCTACATAGACCTAGACAACTGTGTCCTTCACAGTATCAGGTAAGACAAAGTGTGTATGTGTGTGTGTGTGTGTGTGTGTGTGTGTGTGTGTGTGTGTGTGTGTGTCTGCCCCTCTGCCCGACTTTGTGCATCTATATATTCCATAAAATCCATAAACTTGAGAATCCAGTTTTAAGTTCTGGGAATGCCACCTTCAAATTACATGGCCTTGGTCAAACCACTTAACTTCTTTGACATTTCCTTTCTTTAACTACAATATCATGGTGGGCATGTTGGTGGTTGGGATACCTGGAAACATACATGAGCTGTGATTGGCACAGTGGCCAGCTCATAGACGGTGACTGATGTGTTAGTGAATGAGTAGGGAAGACAGAGAGAGTCACTGCTTCTCTTTCTTTAAAGTGAATACCTTTAACCTAGAAAGGCTTGATCTAAGCAAGCATGAGGACCTGGATTTGATTTCCAGTACCAATATAAAAGTCGAGATAAGCTGCCCTATGGCATGTGCCTTGTGTTTGTTAGTGTTAACTGGATAAAAGCTAGGTCACTGTAAAGAAGGAAGGAACCTCCACTGTGAAAATGCCTTCATCAGATTGACTAGTAAGCAAATCATGATTAATGATTGATGTAAGAGGACCCAGCTCACTATGGGTGGTTCCACCCCTGGGCATCTTGCCTGGTACTAAAAATAAGCTGGGAAAGCCATGAGGAACAAGCCAGCAAGCAGCATTCCTCTGTGGTTCTTGCCCCTGTCTGTTAAGGAACATTTTGCATTCAAAGGCTTATTGAACACATTTGATTCCAGAAACCTCTCAAGGTACTGCATTCATGAGTCTAGAATCCTGGGTCCAGAACCCCGTTAAGTCCACATAGCCAAATTGCCTCCAGAATACACTTCAAAGCATTTCAAAACATTGGACTTTAAAATCATTTCATCGTGTCTTCAGAGTGTATCCTCCAAGAGGGTCAACCTTCCTCCAGTGGACAGGGTCTAAAACCACATACGGAACCCTGATAATAAGTTTCTCATAAACGAAAGAGAAATTGTTCTATGGTTCTGACATTCTATAGACACAGTAGATTTTCTCTTTCCAGTTTCCATTTCCCAGTTTTTTTTTGAAATGTGACAAGGGAAGAATTTAACATTGCTTTAGATATTTAGTGTCTGTCCACAAACACTATGGTGAATCGATAGAAGTGTGTGTGTGTGTGTGTGTGTGTGTGTGTGTGTGTATTGCTATGTAGATATATAGCCACAGATAGTGATATATAGAGATGTAATTTTTAGATATTGATACACAGTTATAGAAATGGACACAGCTATTAGAGAGAGGTCTGCACAGCTCAGGAAGACAAACAGAAATACTTAGATACAGATGGCTTTTAAAGCTGTAATGTGCCCTGTGGTGGGTGCTGTATCTATTTCAATGCAAAAGTTGCTCTTCGCCATCTATTTCAGGTGTCAATCCCCAACTCTTCCCTCTAATCCTGCTTGCAGAGCTTAATATTGTATTTCTTTACGTCAGGTTTCATTGCTCCATTTCCCCAGAGAGAGAATTAGCCAGAATAGGTCCTACTTCCAAGTACTTACCTGTGCTGGGCCTTGCAGAATGTCAGTTGTTCATTACCATCATTGCTTAGGTCAATAGTTGTTGTTGGTCCATCTGTGTTTAAAAGTAAGGTTAAGCAAATTGCTCCAAGTTACATAGATGGTGAATAGAGGTCCTGGAATTTGAACTTGTGTTGTTTGATTGCTAAAGGCTCCCCTCTTGGCTTCCCTTAGTTGACCTCATCTAGGTACTCCTGTGTTTGCAAACTCACATAACAAACATGAAATCAGAACTGCAAACTATTTGTAAATGAGTATCATTATTTCGTCTCTATTTGAACAAGAAAGTTGCCATGGAAAACTAACACAGACTGAGTGACTTGACAGAAACTTATTTTCCTAAAGTTCTAAATATTGAGAGTCTAAGATCAATGCTTGATGCTTCTTTTCTTGACTTATAGATGAGTGTTTTCATGTTCACATAGCATTTGCCTCCAACTTGTGTCTGAACACTAACCTCCTTCATTTTGTTTTTGACACTGCCTTCCTCTGTATCCATGGGTGACCTCAAACTCACAGAAAAATCTGTCTGTGTCTACTTTCCAAATTCTGGAATTAAAGGTGTGCACTATTAATGCCTGCTTCCTTTGTTAAAAAGGAGGCAAACTGTAATGTATTACAATGGCCTCATATTTAATTCAATTACTTTTGAAACTACCAGCCTCCAATTACAGTCACATTATGAAATATTGGGGTTAGTACTCCCACATATACTTCAGGAGAAGGCACAAAATCAGCCTGTTTTAAAATGTTACTACTATATTTCCTCATTCTAGCTCATCCCTTTGTTTAAGTCAGTATCCACTATTTGTTTATTTGACTATTTCTTTTGCAGTGCTAGAGGCTGGACCCACATCCACAGATAAGTGTCTTATCACTGAGCTGTGTGCCTAGCCCTTCTGACTATTTATTAAGTGGCTGTTTGCCTTGCCTTTGTGAAAACACTATTTAAGGAGGACCCTGAGGTCATTCAGACATCTATGTAGACATATAGCCTTTGTAGAAAAGAATAGCCAATGGGATCCTGCACCCAGCATCTGCCCTTGTAGCACATTCCCTTCCACAGTGGAACTAAAGGATGCTGCATTTCCCAAGAAGCCAACAATTTCTATTTGTCATCAGTTAAGACTACCCCATTCAGTCTTTGATATCTCATCTAAACCTCCAATTATGTGATCTTTCAAATACAGAATTCAGTTTTGTTTTGTTTTTGTTTTGGAGAGGGTAATCTTGCCATGTAGCATGGGCTCTCCTAGGATTGGTTTTATCATCTAGGCTGTCCTTGAACTCATGATCTCACTGAAATGTCAGTGGTGATCCATGCCCTTGGAGCTGCTGCTTAGAACTTTGTCCTAGGGGAGATTTTGGGGCGTCATAGTGTCAGTAGGAAGGAGCTAAGACACTACCACTATCTGCTCTGAGGATGGTGTATGGCTGTAGGAATCCATAGGGAAGTCCACAAAACCCAGGGGAAGGTCAAAATAACATAAGAGCAGAGGGGCAGGATGAGATGAGGAGACTACCCTCATTTCCATGTCTCTGGATATCAGCTTCATTTATTTCACATATAATAATCATAATCTCGGGAATTTCCCCTAACTTTTCATTTTATGCCTATTCCAATAGGAGACAGTCTGAGCTACTCTTTGGTACCAAACACACTGATAGACAGACGGACAGACAGATGGACGGACACACACACACACAATTTTGAGAGGGACTGTGATTGCTCTAGCTTCTGTTAAAAACTCACAGGGATGACTATTGAGATTTTGACCCATCATCAGCTTTTGGGGGTGGGATTTGATGAAGATATGATAGTTTTCATGGAAACTACAGGATTGGCCTTGACAGGAAAAAAAGGTCTCCAGAGTAAAGGTAACTTGTCCCATCAGCAGGATTTGCACACTGGATGGCTACATGACTACCACCCTAGAATCAAATCAGAGGGAGTTGCAAGAGAACTCCAGGAATGTGTCCCAATCAAGTGTAGCAGCTACAGCCATTCACTGGCAAGAGGTAATTCTAGCAACAGATCAGGACCACACATCAACACTTTATGGATAAGCCTCTTGCAGGGTGATTGGCATGTAAGCCATCTCTTCTCGAGGCAGGGAGTGACTTGAAGGTTCTGTTTCATACCAGAGGACCACCTCAATATGCTGTGGCTGAAGAATTTCCAGATCCCACGGGGCATCTACAAATTCTTCCATAGCTTCCCCCCAAGACCTTCTTATCAGCACGGCATATCTACATCAGGAATTGGAACTCAAAGATGGAATGACTATGACTCACCTGAGGAATTTAACTTTGCAAGTGACGTGCTGGACTACTGGGCTCAGATGGAGGAGGTAAGAGGGCATGGTGATAGCATGGGAGTGGAGCGGCATGGTGGCTTTATCTTGCTCTAACTAGGTAAAGAGAGACTGAGGAATATATGGATTATCCAGAGACACAGAGGAGCCCATGGCTTCTTCAAGACAGCCTTGTGGTGGTAAAGGCTTACTACATCTGAGGACTTGATTCCTAGACTGTGTATTTTCTCACTTTTCTGAGCTTCAATGAATTTGTTTGTTTGTTTTTCTGTGAAATTGGGGTAATTTATCTTTAAAGCTCACCTGCATGGATAAAATTATCTGATGAATGTTTATTCTTCCATAACTACAATCTAGTGCAAAGTTCTAATTGGCAGGTTTGTGGAGGTCTGAGTTCTCACCTTCAGTTAGTGAGAGAGTAGAAGTGTTCAGCTCATCATACTCGAGCTGGTCTCGAAGCCATGCCTAGAGAGGGGGCAGGTTTTTATAATGTGCACAGGAGCAACTACTAGATTTATCCAAGTCACATCAGCTGTCATCCTATGAAGGTAGCAAGTCTCCCTGAGATCCTTAATGTCACCTACATTCTTGACATGACTTTAGAGTTTTCCAGAGAAGCAGTCTCAGTGGCCTGCAGCAGCTCCACGTCTCTCTACAGAACATCCCCCTTGGCCTGTCTTTTTCAAAGACACAGATCTATAGAGAGGTAGGCGTGGCACTGGCACCTGCCATAGACAGGTGTGAAGTTTTGAGCCACTCAGCCCTAGCTGACAAGCCCTGCAGCACCTGATCTTTGTACGAAGACAATTTATCTGAGATGAAGTTGGGGAGTAGCTATAAGTGTTAAGTTCCCCACGAGCATACACGCATAGGTTACTATTCAAGGTCAACTTGCCTCATCTGCCATCTTCTCTCAGAACGTTCATGACAGTGGCAAGAAAAATACAGCCCTCAGTCATGGAGAACATGCTCTGTTCTATGTCTGCCATTCTACATTTGATATTCTGTGGTTCCCATTTTCCAGATGAGAAAACTGGGACCTAAGAGTTCAAGTGACCTGCTGGGATCCCCTACCTATCTAAAAAGTTGGGGGGCAAGCTTTGGATCCAGACTGACAGATTCCACAATCCAACCTTTAGCCTAGTCTCACTCTCTGAGAGGCCAGAGCACCTCTGCTTCAGAAACACATGGGTTTCTTCACTGCCAACACCATAAGTCTAGTGAAGAATAGTGAGAGCATGAGATGGGTTAGGAAGAAAGTGGTGATGAGGAGGCAATGTTCTCCCCATAAAGATCTCATTAGTGAGTTCATATACCAGCTTATGGGGTTAACAAGCAAGAAAGTATTCCCGTAGGAAAGTCCAGGATGACTGGATTTCATAACACCATAGTCAGTCATTGCCATTTCATCTGTATCCTCAACACCCACAACTCCATTTACAAACACCACATCTCATTAATATTCATTTCCAATATCTGGGATCTGTCTCCCATTCACTGTACTGACTCACACATAGTAGTCACCCAGTAAACAGCTGTGGGGTGTGTTAGCTTTGGGACCTTCCTGGTTGGCACTCCTGTGAAGGCCTCTGCTTTCTGTACCACCTCCTGTGACTCACCAACAAGCATCACGGTTCCCTGGTTCAATCAGCAGCACTGCCCAAATGCCACCGGTTACTTCATTCACTTTTCAACACATTTAATCTGTAAGACATAAGATGGAAATATAATGTACTCATGTGAAATCACCTGGGATTTTGGTAAATAAAGCATTAGAAAACAAAACAACAACAAAAGAAAAAAAAAACAAAACAAAAACAAAGTTAATCTGTAAGTTAGATACAGTTACTCACTAAGGCTACTAATGTGTAAGCCTGGTCTTGGAAATTAAAAGATATATTACTATCAAATCCTCAGGATATATATATATATATATATATATATATATATATATGTCCTGAAACAGTCCCCAAATATATGAGATTACACTCACATCAACTTGTTTCCATTCTGTCTCTTACATACTTTACTATTTTGTTTATTCATAGAAATAAGATTTAATGAGTACCCAACATAATGATAAGACAGTAAATGGGGTAGACAATGCTTCATTTTTCCTGCCATTTTGTTTCTTTCTTCAAGCTATCCTCCGTTTCTTTATGGTGAGTTTCCATGGTAACATGCGTGACTTTTTTTCATTTCCCTTTGCATGTATTCTAGAGATATTTTCCTTGTGCTTACTATGAGGATTGCATATAATATTCTGTAGCAATAAGGGTCTATTTTTAACTTAAACAGTTTAGTCTCAATCACATAAGAAAGAAAGTCTATTCCTCCACAGCCTTATCCCATTAAACCCCAATATTACAATCCCGATGTCACAAATTCCATCTTCTCACAATATAATAACTTTAATGTGGGCTTATCATTGTCTGTTAGATATAACTAGAGAATAAAAGTAGAGGCCAGTGAGATTGTTGCTTTGTTTTCTCCCACCAGCCTGGTCTGGCAGCCACCTTGCTCCAAATGAACACTAGGACACTATTTAATTATGAAACTGTTGGCCGGTGCCTTGGGGTACTTAATGGCTAGCTCTGTCTTAATTATTAATCTATAACTACTAATCTATATATTTATACATAGTCTTATCTTCAAGGAGGATGCCTGACTCTCATCCTCTCTTCCCAGGCTCACAAGTCGACTCCTCTCTGCCTACACTTCCCAGAATTCTCCTCATCTCCTAGCCCTGCCTATATTCCTATCTGACCAATCAGTGTTTTATTCATCAACCAATAAGAGAAACATTTACAGAATAATATCTCCCATCATCTCCTCTTTCCTGTCTAAATAAAAAGAAAAGTTTTAACTGTAACATAGTTAAATTATAGATAACAAACAAAATAGCTATTAAGAAAGAACTATAATTACAATATTTAGTCCATAAACATTTGGCAAAATTTATAAAAAAAAATAACTATCATCCATTCTATCTTTGTGAGTCTAAAGTCTTATATGTAACTTATCTTTTATCATAACCAGTGAAACCATAACTATATGGCTTCAACTCCATCAAAGACCACAAAAGGATAATATGTAAACTCTAGAATTGACAGAGACATCCGGTTGCCTGGACATTCATCCAAAGTTCCTCTGTAACATTGTAGCATCCATCTTCAGCCCATAGGCCATAGCGTGCCTGGCAAGCTTCTCATCAAAGCAGGAACTTTCAAGCTGGCCCACCTGTATTGGCAGTTTGTCAGTCATTTTTTTTTTCTATGTCCTGCAGAATTTCTGCCAGACTCTTCCATGAAGCGGGAACACTGTAGGACTGTCCCATCTGTTTAAGCAGTCACTTTCCTGTGGGTCCTCCATGTCCATTTCATACAGCATACAATCAAACAGTCCAGGCAAGAGCAGTTTCTTGCCCCAATGGCTAGTCATTCCATGTCAAAGGCAAACTCCTTGAAGAGTTTCTTTGATGCCCATCTTCCTCTCTGAACTAATTGGTCTCACTGTCACGAAATCCCTAAATTCCCTCCAGTTTGAACTTTCTGTGAATATCTTAATTTATGCCTCACATTTGAAAAGAAGTGTTAAGTAACTGGTTGTTGTTGCTGTTGTTTTCCCCTCTCTCTGCACTTCAACTATATGAGCTCATCATATCCCACTTTGCAAAGCCTCTGCTGATAACTTGATTGGCAGTCTCCCTGAGGGTTTCTTGAACACAATGAGTTGCTTTGCTTTTGGACACTCAAGATCACTTCTGTACTTCTGCCTCTGCATTTGAATTACAATTCACACAGTTTCTTTGGGCTTCTCCTGGAGTTGTTGAGCTGTTTGTATAAGATGACACTCATCTTTCCTCAAACACATCATTTCTCTCTTCAGATAAGCTGAACAGCTGTCTTCCACTTAAACTCCCAGAATATGTTTATGAGTCTGGAAACTACAGTTTTATTAATTCTGCTCCTCAATTTCAAATGACCTATATCTATCTTTATTCATTCTTTCTTCTACCTATTTGCATCTCCTGTTGAACCCCTAGTCCATTCAATAACTGTTTTTTGTTCTGGAAGTTAACATCTCTCTTTTCAAAGATACTGTTGTTTGATTCATTTGGAGTGTTTTTGTTCTTCCTTTCATCTTTGGATTTTTTCTTTAGCTGTTTGAGCAAATTTAACACAGATGTTAAAAACATCTTTGTCTAATAGCTAATAGTCCATACAGCCTGGGCTTCTGTTTCTGTGGATCAATTTTGTCCCTTTGAATAGGAAGAATCTCTATTTTTTGTATACCTTGTTGGTTAAAAGTTTGGCATGCTGGGGGAAAGCCCATTTATTTTTCCAGTCATACACACTAACTCATTATTATAACCATCATTAATATGGTCAGGTTGGGGCTTAATTTCATCTCAAGCCTTTCTGACATTTGTCTTTCCTAGTCCTATTTGTGTGTCCCCTGCACTGTGCCAATTTTCACATTTACATGGCCAATGTTCCGAACCCCACTTCCTTTTAGGAGTTCACCTGTGCTTCTTTTCAAAGCCTTGACAATTCTGTTGAGTTCCTTCCTCCATCATCTTTTGGCCCTTGGTGTCCACAAGCATAGACTGTACTGGTGGTACAAATATATCCAACTCAAGAGTCAATCTATGATGCGGTTCCCCTGTGGTCTCCCAATTAGGCAGGAGAGAAAGCAGTTTGCCCGGTGGCTCCTGAACAGTCCAGGGCACTGCAAACAAGTTCCAGTCTTTTCCATGAGCCAGAATGGAACGGTTTCCCTTTGATTGTGCTGTAGCACATCACAGGCTCAGGAGCAATGTCAAGAGAGAATGCCGCAGAAAGCACCACATCCAAAGTGTGACATTAACTGTGAGTAGCTGCTAAATTGTTGCAGACTCTTCACTCATTCCTAGAGTTCTCACAAAGCTACTTTGATCAATTTGTTATTATTTGTTTGATGTTTCTGTGAGGAAACAAGGACATGCAGCCTCCCTAACTCCTAATAATACCTTAATTTTAAAAGATTACCTAAACATTTAACAACTACTTTAGCCTCCTTTTTTATTTAACATACTATTTTATTGAGAAACTTTGTGTCAAACACTGTTCATGTGGTTTATTTACTTAAAGTTGTTTAGGCAATATTGTTGTCCCCATTTTACAGAAGGGAAAACTGGAAAGAAGAGAGGAACTCATGGTTTATATCAGCAGTTTCAACTAGTGGGGAGGGACCATCAGTAAGCACACATTTCCAATGGTCTTAGGAACCCCCAAAAATAAATTTATTCTTGTTGCTACTTCATAACTGTAATTTTGCTACTGAGCAGTGTCTCAGTTCCTAAGACCATCAGAAATATTTATTTTCCAATGGCCATGACCCACAGGTTGAAAACCACTGGTATATATGAGCCTAGAACAGACATATAAAGAGGGGGATTTGTTTGTCTTCAATGTGAAGCTTGAAGGGTATTCATGATCACAAGTAACTTCAGGGTAATTTCTTACTTCTCTGGAGTCTGTTAATATCTTAAGATAGGATCTACTGTGCTAGGCTCACACTGGGAAATGACTATGGAAGTGAATTGTCCTTTTCCTTGGAAACAGGAAGTGACACTTGGTATGTTATCTTAACTAGGAAGGCAAGAAAGGCCCGGGCCCAGCTTTATGGTGGGTAAATGGCCAAGGAGATGAGATAAAGTGGAGCTTCCGAGAACTGAGGGACCTAACCCGCCGTGCCGCCAATGTCTTTGAGCAGACTTGTGGCCTGAAGCAGGGGGATCGCCTGGCCTTGATTCTGCCTCGAGTGCCTGAGTGGTGGCTGGTGACAGTGGGCTGCTTTCGAACAGGTCAGTGATTCACATGGAATTCATTGGACCTGAGTGCTGGAACGGAACCACAGAAAGAGCCTCCATGTCTCCGTCTGAGGATGGACAGCTCAGTTGGAGACAAAACATTTCCTCTTCCCTTTGCCATCCCTATTCTTCAAGCCTGGCTCTTCCTCCACTCACACATACTCACACACTTTCTGTCTCCTTCCCTGACACACTGGCATCAATATGCTCTAAACGTAACATTATATACCCCTTCCTTCCTCTTTCAGCAATCTGTTGTGGATATTATGAGACCTACAAGCACCAGGTAAGTATCAATGAGCACAGGAGCATAAAAATCTACTAATACTCAAGACAAAACATTCCATTCACAAAATCAAAGTAGAGTTGCAACCCAAAGGCTAACATCAGCACACTACAGTTATTCGTGCACATCCATAACCAACATTCTTCTATTATCCAAACAATATCCTTTAGAGCCAATTTATCTTTATTTTTTTTTAATTTTTTATATTTATTTATTTATTTTATGTAACCAAGTCCATTTAAATGAAAGCAAACATTTATAGAAAATATTTGGGAATTTGGGCGTCGTTCTTTCCAAACTACTTCCTGCTGGTAAGGGGCGCTTTCATGGGGGATTCGAAGAAGATGCAGAAATCCTGGCTGTAGTCTGTAAGGCTGCTTTGTCCAGCTGTTTTGAATGTAGGATCACCTGGTACTCTGTTTCAGGCGGTCTGGCTTGATCAAACCACATTAGTCTGGAAGGAATCCAAATCTTTTCATTTTCTGTGGAAACAAAAATAGAAATCCTTTTCCCTAGTAACTTGTCCTTGAACTTAAATTTTGGAGTCAAAGAATTTTTTTTTATTTATTATTTTACATATTGATCCCAGTTCCCCCTCCCTCCATCCTTCCCTCCCTCCCTTTTACCCTCTCTGCCCTCTCACATGCACCCTAACCATGCTCCCCTCCCATCCCCCCATCCCAATTCCATATGTAGGGGAATGCCATCCAGTTGGGGCCATGTAGATCTGACAGGTCATGTGAAATAGGGACAAGGGCTTCTCTCCTGTCTCTAGGTTAAGGCAGTTATCCCTCCATGGGGGATGTGTTCGCAAGGTCCTTTTGTGCACCAGGGATACATCATGGCTCCACTGTCTGAGTTCCCTTAGACTGCTCAGTCCTTGTGGCTGAGACCCATATTCAGGGGGGCCTGAGTCAGTCCCATGTTGGCTTCCCAGCTATCAGTCTGGGGGGCCAGTTAGCTCCTCCTTGTTCAGGTCAGCTGTCTCTATATGTTTCTGCATCCTGGTCTTGTCCTCTCCATCTGCATCTGGGTTCTACTTTGACTCAGTCTTTATGTATGGGTGTTTGCTCCTGTTTTCAACAGGCATTAGTTGAGGGCTCCATGGATAAGTTAGTCGTTGATCTCACTCTCCGGGAAGGGCATTTATGGTAGCCTTTCCATGGAAGCTCAAATTGTTATTTGGCAGCAGTCTTATAGTTCTCTAGTCCTTTCTTTGTGTTCAATTTTATCTTCAAACCAATATTGGCTCCCTCTTTTTTGTTCTCTCTCTCTCTCTGTCTCTCTCTCTCTTTCCTGTCTTCTATTCCTAACCAGGCTCAATCTTCCTGGTCGCACGTTTTCCTTTCCTCCCCCTCATTTTCTCCTACTTCTCTCTCCATTCTCTGCCCCCCCACTTCCCCTGTTCTCTGGGGGGCTTGTCCCTTCCTGGTTCTGTGAGGGACTTTATATGAATCTCTTAGAATACACCTTGTATCCTAGTTCCTCTGGTGGTGTGAATTATAGGCTGGTGATCCTTTGATCTAGGTCTAAAATCCATATATGAGTGAGTACATACCATGTTCCTCTTTTTGTTACTGGGTTACCTCATTCAGGATGGTTTCTTCAAGTGCCATCCACTTGCCTGTGAATTTCAAGATACCATTATTGTTTTCTGCAGAGTAGTATTCCATTGTGTAGATGTGCCACATCTTCTTTATCCATTCTTCAATTGAGGGGCATCTAGGTTGCTTCCAGGTTCTTGCTATTACAAATAGTGCTGCTATGAACATAGTTGAACAGATGTCTTTGTTGCATTGATGTGAATCCATTGGGTATATGCCTAAGAGGGGGATTGCCGGGTCCTGTGATAAAATAATTCCCATTTTCCTGAGGAACCGCCATACTGATCTCCAAAATGGCTGTATGAGTTTGCACTCCCACCAGCAGTGGAGGAGTGTTCCCATTTCTCCACTTCCTCTCCAACATGAGTCATCATTGGTGTTTCTAATTTTAGCCATTCTAGCAGGAGTAAGATGGTATCTCAAAGTTGTTTTGATTTGCATTTTCCTGATAGCTAAAGATGTGGAGCACTTTCTTAAGTGTCTTTCAGCCTTTTTGATTTCCTCTATTGAGAATTCTTTCTTCAGTTCTGTACCCCATTTTTTAATAGGGTTATTTGGTGTTTTGTTGACTAGTTTCTTGAGTTCTTTGTATATTTTGGAGATCAGCCCTTTGTTGGATATAGGATTGGTGAAAATCTTTTCCCAGTCTGTGGGCTGCCATTTGGTCTTGTCCACTGTGTCCTTTGCCTTACAGAAGCTTCTAAGTTTGAAGAGGTCCCATTTATTAATTGTTGCTCTCAGTGTCTGTGCCCCTGGAGTTATGTTCAGGAAGCGGTCTCCTATAACAATTTGTTCAAGGGTACCTCCTACTTTCTCTTCTAAGAGGTTCAATGTGGCTGGATTGATGTTGAGGTCTTTGATCCATTTGGACTTGAGTTTTGTGCATGGCAACAGACATGGGTCTATCTGAAGTCTTCTACACACCCTCATCCAATTGTGCCAGCACCATTTGTTGAAGATGCTGTCTTCGCCCCATTGTATAATTTTAGCTGTTTTGTCGAAAATCAGGTGTTCATAGGTGTATGGGTTAATATCAGGATTTTCAATTCAACTCCATTGGTCTACCTGTCTATTTTTATGCCAATACCAGGCTGATTTCAGAACTATAGCTCTGTAGCAGAGCTTAAAGTCAGGAATGGTGATGCCTCCTGAAGTTCTTTTATTGTATAGGGTTGTTTTGGCTATCCTGGGTCTTTTTTTTTTTCATAAAAAGTTGATTGTTATCCTTCCAAGATCAGTGAAGAATTGTGGTGTGATTTTAATGGGGATTGCATTGAATCTGTAGATTGCTTTTGGCAAGATTTCCATTTTTACTATGTTTATCCTACCTATCCAAGAGCATGGGAGATCTTTCCATTTTCTGGTATCTTCTTTAATTTCTTTCTTTAGAGCCACAAATTCCTTATTATATAGTTCTTTTATTTGTTTGGTAAGCGTTACACCAAGATACTTTATGTTGCTTGTGGCTATTGTAAAGGGTGATGTTTCTCTGATTTCTTTCTCTGTCTCTTTGCCGTCTGAAAAAAGTAGGGCTACTAATTTTTTTGAGTTTATCTTGTATCCTGCTAGTTTTCTGAAGGTGTTTATCAGCTATAGGAGTTCCCTGGTAGAGTTTATTGGGTTGTTTATGTAAACTATCATATTATCTGCAAATAGAGACAGTTTGACTTCTTCCTTTCCAATTTGGATCCCCTTGATCTCCTTTTGTTGTCTTATAGCTTTAGCTAGAACTTCCAGTACAATATTGAAGAGATATGGAGAGAGAGGATAGCCTTGTCTTGTTCCTGATTTTAGAGGAATTGGCCTTAGTTTCTCTCCATTCAGATTGATGTTGGCAGTCGGTTTGCTGTATATTACTCTTATTATGTTTAGGTATGTTCCTGTTATCCCTGATCTCTCCAAGACCTTTATCATGAAAGGGTGTTGAATTTCGTCGGAGGCTTTTTCAGCATCTAGGGAGATAATCATATGGTTTTTCTTTTTCAGTTTGTTTAGATGGTGGATCACGTTGATAGATTTTCGTATGTTAAACCATCCCTGTATTCCAGGGATGAAGCCTACTTGGTCATGGTGGATTATTTCTCTGATGTATTCTTGAATTCAGTTTGCCAGTATTTTATTGAGTACTTTTGCATCGATTTTCATCAGGGATATTGGTCTGTAATTTTCTTTCTTAATTGTGTACCAAGGTTATTGTGGCCTCATAAAAAGAGTTTGGCAATGAACCTTCTGTTTCTGTTTTGTGGAACAGTTTGAAGAGTAGTGGTTAATTCTATTATGGTCCATCTATAGATTAATCGTTGATTAGCTCACAGCCCTTGTCATCCAAATGCCTTTTAACACTGCTTATACAAGCTAGTGATGTAGCCTTCAACATATGAGCCTTTAGGGGGTTACTTCATATGCAGTAACTCACAGATACCCTTCTTGCAATTGCTGTTCTCATCTCCAGTGAAAAGTGTCTTCCTTCTCTCTCTTTCTCCCTTCTTAACTTCCTTTCTTCTTCTGTTCCTTTCATTATCTAACAGAATGTAATATGAGATCAAGAACTAATAGCAAAAGTAGAGAGAATATAAAAAAGAAAAACCATGCATCTATAGAACTAAGAAATGGCTAGTGAGAAGCCCAGGACTATAGCTGAGTCCTCTGAGGTGAGAATTAAAGAAGGTTAGAAGTAAAGAAAGGCAGTCCAATAGTGGGTTCCACACATGCAATGACTACTGGTCAGGACTTGTGTGTGTGTGTGTGTGTGTGTGTGTGTGTGTGTGTGTGTATACAAGTGTATACATGGGAGCACACACACACACGGGCACACACATGTGGCCCACTCCCACCCACCCCCACATCATGAACATACACATACATGCACATACATTCATGCACACATATACATACACACACTCACATGTACATACATAAGTGCGCACACACATATGCATGCACACACACAACCATTTTGAAAGAGAAAAATAAAGAGGAAGAAGGGAAGATAAAGAATGGACTTCAGTGTCAAAATAGGGTGTGGGGTGCCTCCCTAGAAATAGAGGGCACAGGTGTTCATGCAGAGAAGAATGTGGAGGTAAATGGCCTGTGATTTGTGGACTTGAGGTAGTAGGGAGATGCAGAAAGTCATCTAGTAAGGATGTGATTTCAGTAGAACAGCCAGGCTTGAACTCACTGGTAGTGGTTGTGCTGCTATTGATTAAGAGAATGTAGGAACGTCCATTGAATAATGTGGCTAAATTTGAGGTAAAAGGAACAAAGGACATTCAAGATGACTTCAAGAGACTAATGGGGAAGAAGAGGAATTGGGGCACGGAGTGTTGAGATGCAGCCAGTCCTAAGCATCAGCAATGCTGTCCTCACAGGCACTGTTACCCGATCTGTCTTAAGTGTTTACCAGGATCCATCTATCCTCTGGTTGAACTCCTCAAGAAAGGATTAAGGAAGAGCCTATAGTTTTTATGTTCAGAGGAATCAGTTGGAGATCTTATTATGATTCAGATAATGACTGAGCAGATTTGACACAGGATGTGAGATTCTGTATTCTCCATGATGTGGAGGCTGGTGGTCTGTGGATCATACTTTTCATGGTATTGGGAATTTTCAACCAATGAGCCAGGCCTAAGTCTGTGGATGTTAAAACAAGCCATCCTTTCTCACCCCCCAGGGATTGTCTTCATGCCTGGGACTACCCAGCTGAGAGCCAAGGATATCCTCTACCGACTACAAGTGTCTCAAGCCAAAGCCATTGTAACCACAGGGAGCCTTGTCCCAGAGGTGGACTCTGTGGCTTCTGAGTGTCCTACCCTGAAAACCAAGCTGGCGGTGTCTGATAATAACCATGAAGGATGGCTCAACTTCCAGTCACTGATGAAGTGAGTTTCTGGTCTGGGAGAGAAGTAACTAGTACAGGAGGTGCACGAAACTGGATACTAGAAACTTCCTAGCTATGCAATCCACCTGCTGTGAAACCCTGGGCTTCTTGCTTCCCTTTCCTTGGTTTTCTTGGCCCTTGGTGCTTTGTAAAATCAGGAGATTGAACTTCCATGTTTTGTCATTAATGTACACTCAGCACTGAGACCAAGCAAAGGAGGATTATAAAGTCAGGGACAAGTGTATTGCATATTCTGTGTATATAAGAACCTTTTATCCATACATATGTGTGTATAAACACATATATGAAAGAGTTCAATGAAAATAAATTTTTGAGGTGAGATATAAAACTTCAAAACAACTTGATGTGGTATTGCATGACTGAGCATTTAGCAGGCTGGGGCATTTCTGTGAGTTCAAAGTCAGACTGATCTACATAACAAGTTCCAGGACAGCCATGGCTACAGTGAGATTATTTCTCAAAACAAACAAGAATGAGAGTAAGAAACTGAATTTCTAATTACAGTGGAACAGTGGGATAGCAGCTTTAGGGGCAAAGACTCTCCTCCCTCTCCTGGGTACTAATAGGGACACCTTACCAGCAAGCCTTTAGGTAGAACTAGAGAAAGACTCCTTTCACCCCAGGAAAACCTCCTGGGAACATGTGTACTCACAGCACAACAGGAACCATGTGCGGCTTGCCTCCTTGGAGTAACACTTCCATGTTTAAAGCCATTTGCTATAACAGTAAAGAAAAGCAACCTCTCATAAAACCAGAGACATTACTGAAAACAGTTTAAAATCAAGAAAATGGGAAATCATTCAGATCATCCTGAGTCAGTGTGATGCCCTGTCTTACTGAGAAAAGCCAGCAGTGCTGGTGTCCCTCAACAATCAGAAGCATCCATTGGGAAGATGACCCAAGAACAAACAGACCAAAGGGACATAGCTCATTACCCAGACCTGCTGGGAGCATTGAATGAGTTCCCATTCCTGGCTCACTTAGAGTAAACTGCAGTATAAACAGTGCTAGCTAGTGTTCTGTAATTTCTTAGTCCATATATTCTTCACATTTTTCAACTAAAGACACACCAGCCCATTTGTGCAAATCACCCCACAGTTGGGCTAATGCCTGCTAGTGGTAACACCAGTCTGTCCTCCAGCCTTGCACATTTCTAGGTTCCCCACTCAGTGCTTCATGTTGCTCCATCAGAAGACAGGAAAACAACAGCGTGAGTTTTCTTCTTTTGCCTTAACTCTCTTTGCAGATCAGTATCCCCAAACCATACCTGTATTAAGTCAAAGATGAAGGATCCCATGGCCATCTTCTTCACCAGTGGGACCACAGGCTTCCCCAAGATGGCAAAGCACAACCAGGGACTTGCCTTCCGGTCCTGTATCCCTTCATGGTAAGAACAACTATTTAGAGGCTGGGGTCCACCTATAAGGGAAAGGGTGTATGTACATGGGCATGGTGAGGAGACGGTGATCTGAATGGAAGTTTCCCCATCTTGGTCTCTGGTTCAAACTCTGAGGGTCTGAGAGATGAAAGTCTGGGCTCTTGAATGCTAGCTGACACAAGGGACTCCTTTGGATTCTGTTGAGCACTCTCGGAGAGGGGAGGAGTGCATTCTATAAACCATGCAAGTAAAAACTCACTGTGTCTCTGACAGTGAGTGACAGATGTCCTGAGAGCCCTTTCTCTAGTGGGAAACCAGACATGTCATTTCTCACTAATGGAATGCCTGGAACCTAGCTCTAATGTTACGAGTGCCCCCCCCCCCCCGCCAGTCTGGTCCCACCACCACACCAGCCCCAAATAATACACAGAGAGACGCTGTATTAGATATAATTCTGTTGGCCAGTTACTAGTGTTTCTTATTGGTGAACTCTGTCTTAAATATTAACCTATTTCTATTAATCTAAGTACTTCCACGTGGTCTTTTCTTACCAGAGAGAGACCAACTGGTATCGTACCCTGTAGGTCCTCCATCTTGGAACTTCTCCCTCCTACCTCCTCTCTCCTCCTAGTCTCCTAGCCCCACCTATCTTGGTTTCCTATTGGCCAACAGTGCTTTATTCATTAACCAATAAGAGAAACATATTTACAGAATGGCATCTCCCATCACTCTAACAGGTCACCAGCTCTGACTTTGAACAAAAGCACATGGAGGCTCAATCTAAGCTTTGGTGAATCATTTCAATAATCTTAAACCAATTGTTTCCACCCCTTCCAAATTCCTGGTAGTATTCAGAACAGACTGAGCACTGTTCTCTGACTTATTAGCTGGAACAGGAGCAAGAGAAGGCAGACAATGAGAACCCCTCCTCTTCAGCACCTGGGCATTCAGCACCTCTACTAATTGCCTCCTCATTGCAAAGGATGGAAAGCCCCAACCACACATTTGAAGCCAAAGAGTAATGGCTAGAGCAGACCGGGGTTAGGCTTCAAACATTTCTGTTTAGATTAGGTTTTTATTGTGCCACACTGCTACTGTTTCTGCCACATAGATGCTTCCAGAATCACCAAGTGTTTTATCAGTGACTGATTCAGACCCAACAGGACAGCAGAAGACTGCCCCAGATTTTCTAGCGAAGGTCTGAGGGGTCATTAGCAGGGAATTGGTTTCCTTGACTTGTGTCCTGGAAGTATGACATAGTGGGACAACTGTGGTGCTCTGAAGCCCTGACACAAATCATGTGAAATGAGGGAGAACAGTGATTCCCCACCCACCTGAAATGCTCCTGAGCCCCCAACATGCCCCTCGGCAGCATAGCTGAGACCACTGTCTTTTGGAGTTAGCAGGAAAGTGTTCAACCTGAAGACATCTGACATCTTGTGGTGTATGTCTGACCCAGGATGGATTATGGCTACTGTGGGGAGCCTGATAGAACCATGGGCATCGGGGGCTACAGTCTTCATCCACAACCTTCCTCAATTCAATCCTAAGGTCATTACAGAGGTAAGAAGGCCAACTTCCCAGAGGATATGCGTATTTCCCAAAGGGGCCCAGCTGAGAAAGACTCAGGGAAACCCAAGAAGGCTGCACAATTTATGTATTTATTTATTTACTTATTTATTTTCTTATTTTACGTATTGATCCCAGTTCCCTCTCCTTCCCTCCCTCCCTCTCTCCTTTCTTCCCATGACCCCCTGCGACCACCCTCCCATCCCATTCCTCCCCCCACTCCACAGGGAGGGTGATGCCTTCTAGGAGGGATCAACAAAATCTGTCAAGTCATTTGGAGTAGGGACTAGGCCCTCCTTCCTGGAAGGCTGTGTAATTAAAGCAATCCTGGTCTTGAGCATCTCACCATGTGGGACACTGAATCAGAGTCAGAGTATCAGGATCACAATGTGAGCTGGAATAAAATACATCTTTCTGAGCTATTCCATGGACCTATAGACCAGACTTTGTGGGTAGGAAACCCATAATATGCATGTTGAGAAACTAAAGCAAGGAAGATAAGCCCAAATCTCTGGGGTTCTGCTCTGCTGGGGCCAAGTAGCAGATGTGGGGGTGAGGTGTGGATGTTACTTATTACAACAAAGTGTCAAAATTAAGAACTTGTAATATGACAAGACCAGCTTCTTACTCCACCTTTGTTATTGATTAGCATACTAGTCACCAATTGTAGCCTTAGCTTCCTTTCAAGGAACCTCTGAAACATAATTTTATTTATTGGTTGATAATATACATGTATATAATGTTTTTTTGTCAAATCCATCCCCCCCCCACTGCCTGCCTTCCAAATCCTTCCATGCCTTTTATCACTTCTCTCTTCCAGCCATGTGTACTATTTTCTTTTTAAATCTACCCAGTCCAATTAGTACAGCCAGTGTGTACATGACTGTAGGGGCCATCGATACAGAGATTCACAACTGGTCAGAGTACAGAGAATAGAATAAAATATTGTGACTTTCCAATCATCCCAAAAAGAACATCTATATCACACACACACACACACACACACACACACACACACACCACCACCACCACCACCACCACCACCACCACCCACCCACCAACACACACACACACACACCACCACACCACCACCACCCCACATACATACACACACACAGAGAGAGAAAGACAGAGAGAGGGGAAAAGAGAGAGAGAGAGAGAGAGAGCGAGAGAGAGAGAGAATTGTTTGTTCAGCTCCTGAAACTTTATCCCCATGAATCCTCTGACTTCATTTCATGAGCAACCCCATCTCTCTGTAGAGACCATGTTTGTTCGTTTCTTAATGCCCTACTAAATGCCATTTCCTCCATAAGTTCTTTGGAGCATCCACCCAATTTATTGTTCTCTAATGTGTACTTGACAGAACTCCATGTTTCTCTTATGACATCTACCAAAATCTTTATCATGCATGTCTTTTTCCGTCTCCTCTGTTATTATCTACCCTTTCTACTGCCTAACATGTTACTTCACTCTTTTTGCATTTGCTCCCAACAGTACCTGACACATGTCATGTATGAAATCTGTGCTAGTGTTCATGTATCAAAGGAGTTAACACAAAATTAAGTAGACCCTCCTGGAAGAAAGATCATAACCTAAGGGCTAATAATTGGCTAACATTTTTAACCCTGACTACAAAATAAAATTCCTCATCTCTTCATTTCCAGGCACTGTTTAAATACCCCATCACCCAATTCCTTGGTGCACCAGCTGTATATCGAATGATTCTTCAGCAGAAAAGTGCCAAGTATGTAGCACTGACTAGAAATAGCAATCTTGGTTAGGATTTTAAAGTATCTAATGTGCCATGGTTTTTCCTTTATATTTTTTCATGATGCTCATGTGCGCATGCATGCATGCGTGCGTGTGTGTGTGTGTGTTTAGTAATACTTATGAGTCTAATTAGCTAGTTCGAGACCAGGCTCTGTAGCCTTATACCTTTGTAAGTTTGTTCATTTGTGTATAGGTATATTATTTGTGACAAAACAAAAATGCAAAACTGCCTACAATGAAAATGAATAGATTAGCCAACTATTAAAAATACCTGTGCAATCACAACACACCCGAGACAGAAAAATAGAACTTTGTCAATGCCTCAGAGACATCTATGTGCCTCCTGTGTCCCATAAATAAAACCACTGTCTGTTTTCTTGTTGTTCAGCCCTCTATTTTCCTTGATAGCAACTAAGGAAATATTCCTGAGAAAATGGGTCTGCTTTTCATGCTTTTTAACTTTTATTTATACAATACAATCCTGTAGCCTCTGGCTTCCTTTTCCAAGATCATGTATCTGTGGTATATTCATGCTGTGTGTTTTTATGGTTAGTTTATCTTCATTGGTAAGTAATATCCTGTTTTATGAAAGTAGCACAATTCCTTTGATCATCCCACCCTACTGAAGATGCAGTTAGCCTTTGCCTGGAGTTATTGGTGACCAGTGCTGCACTTAACTGTGGTGCCACAACCCAGGTGAAGATAAATAGGCTTTCTGATGTTTTTCTATGGCACAGGTACCTAAGTCACAATAGACAGCTTCAACATTTTCCAAAGTATTAGACCATATCTAATACTTTCAGTCTTTGTCAAGACTGAAGGATTCCCATTATTTCACATCATTTTCACCATCTGCTCCTGTCAATTATTGTCTGTTGTTAGCACAATGTGTGTGTAGTGTTGTCTTATTGGACTTTTACTTTTCACTTCCTGGTGTTTGGGAGTTGGTCTTTAGCTAACCTAAAATATTTCCTTTGAAAACTATGGGCATGTGCATATATTCTAGAAACTCTGATGGCACTAGCTCTCTAACTCCAAAAGAAGGCTAGGTGCCAAACTGAGAAGCTGAATGAAACCTCAGTCATTTCCCTCCAATTATCTTCAGAGAATTCAATTATTATTTTGTGGGGTCCCTTTAGGGACATTCTATGAGAGAAATGGGAGAGAGATTGTATCTCATGATGCACCTAATGTAAGTGCTCCCCACAAAGCTCTGCCCTGAAATTCCTCCTCTCTGGATTTCTGATCTCTCTCAAATCCTGTTTTCTGTTACCTTTTTGTGTTTTCCTACAAACGTCCCAACCTGCCTTGATGTCCTACTCAAGCCTATTCCAACCCTGACTTTCAGCCTCTACACAGAAATAGAAAAGGTCCTCAGGCAGTATAGCTTTGTTACACCCTAGTGTCCTTTGGGGGTCTCGTGCCTCACCAGTTATGGTATATAAAGTTGTTCCTCTTAGATCCATAGAAAGGTTTTCTAGTGAGTATTCTTGTTTCCTTGTTACATCAACACCCAAACTTCACCAAAACATCAATGATAAGACCCAATATCTTCAGCATCACCCACGCACTCCCTGTCAGAAATATTAACAGAGACCTATGGGAAGGGAGTGGCATCCATCTGGCCATGGCCATCAGTAAAACAACAGAAGGTGGATTTAAAAGTGAGAATGCAGACAGATGAGTGATCTGAAAATGACAAATGCTTAAGCTGTTGATGCTTTATATTTCCAGAAGAGCATCCACAGCCTGACATATTTGTCTTCCCCTAAGTCTCAGATTCCCCACCTTAGAGCATTGCCGCACTGGTGGGGAGGCCCTACTGCCTGAGGAGTACAAGCAATGGAAGCAAAGGACAGGTCTTATCCTTCATGATGTCTATGGGCAATCAGAAACGGTAGGTAAACAGGCCCTTTCTGCACCATCTTGATGGGCTCAGCTATAGATCATAGTCAATGGGTCACTCATGACGCATTGTATGCTGAGGTCTTCTGTGAACAGCACTGCTCAAAGACAATGAAGTGTTTTGAGGTTCATGGTTAATTTATCCCAAATTTGCAGGGGGAAAATGTACAGCTTATCAACTCATTGAGAAACCAATGAACTTAAAGCTATTGGGCAAAACTTAAAAAGACACTTTGACACTATGCCTGGGAGTATTAGCCCAGGGGAGCCACATGAGGGAGGTGCGTGGAAAGAATCATCTCTCCTGAAATTTGGAGGCCATCAGCAGATCCTGCCAATTACACCACCACATCCTAGAGCAGCTACACGAAGAGGTGATTGGGAGCTGGCTTTCAAAGTTCATGTCCTGATGTTGAGGAGGATAACACAGGTTAAATTATGAGATTATAGTGGTAGTAGATGAGGAATCAAACCCTTTCTGTATATGCCATATGTACACATACATACATTGCTGCATGCATACACAGGCACACACTTAATGATATCTCAATGTATCACTGAGCTAGCAGATGGTCAGAGCATGGATGGTATCATGTACCTCCTGAACCTCAAAGACTTCATTAGTCTTTCAATCCAATACATTTTCATTAGTGTCTAATGGCTGTATGGAGCCATTTCCCAGTATCCCTTGAACTAATAAAGGAATGTCCTCTATTTCAGGCCCTAAAATACATTGAATATTTTATATATTTTTCACATAGTTGTCTGCTGTTTTTACAAACAAACAAACAAACAAGTCAGTGAGTTGATTTGTTTCTAACCTGAAAAATTATTCTGTATGGAGAAAATACCACAGGAAAAGAATGTTCTATAGACTCTTCTTGGGATGTGAATAATAACACTTAGTAATAGTCTAAGTACTGTGTAAAAAGTTCCTCCAAAGAGCCATGTGTATTGTGTGTGCCCATAGCCTGTCATTTAAGAGGCTAAGCAGAGGATCACAAGTTTAAGACCAGTTAGCACTCACTATAGGCACAATAAAAAAGACCTTATATCAAAACACCAAGAAAAGGGGAGGGAGAATTGTTCCCATACATGTTCAAGAACAATGAGAAATAAGTGTGTTCATTGTCTCGTTTTGCCAGAGGAGGAGACAGGCATACTCAATATAGAGCATTCAAAATAGAATGACAAAGAACTACATAGAGGAATCAAATTCACTGGGAAGACCAGTGGGATCAAGGGGTATTGGCAGAGGGAATGGCATAAAAATCTAAACCATCTCAACCTATTTCCAAGTTTCTGAGGCAGGATTCCCATCACTATCCAACAACCAAGTGGATATGTATGGTCAATACAATATGTATGGTCTCGGCCTTCTTGTGGCAAACCAAACATCCCTGGTAGGCATTCCACACTCCACCTGATGTGCTACAGCCTCGGGTTTACCCTCCTTTGTTTCTACCTTTTATCAGCCTCTAGAATCTGTAAGCCCTACATGTAATACAGACCCATGCCATGCTGGGAATAACAAGTATCCACTGAGTAGAGTTGAGTCAATGCCTTGAACCTGAATCCTATTCTCAATAAATGGCCTCTATCAGAGGTCGTGTGTGTGACCCTGCTTTGTCCAACCTTAGTCTTCTTTTGTGGACAGGGACTAACCTGTGCTGTCATCCAGGAAATGAAGATGAAGAAAGGCTCCATAGGAAAGGCCATATTCCCCTTCAACATCCAGGTCTGGTCCTAGGGAGCTATACTTTATAGCTCTGGTGAGGTTGGAGCCATCTATGGCAGCAGGTAGTAGAACCAGCCATCCCCTAGTAACCCTGCTCCTGTCTCCTGTTGTCCCCTGGTTACCCATGGGAGCTTCAGGTGAGAAGGGCATTACTGTGCGTACTGATGCAGCTCACCTTGCAGATAGATGCATCTTACATGGTGCATGGGAAAGAATAAATAACACCCTCAGGTAACACTGTCTTCCAGTTTGAAGACACAGCAGTAATATCTACATTCCCATGAAACAAAAAGCCCCAGGTCTTGGGCTTCACATTTACTGATTTCAAAGAATTCGATAGATTTAATCTCTTTTCTGACAGTTTCTCCATGATGGTTCCCATTTATTCTATTAGTGTCTTGTGGTGAGCCAGTCAGTGGCACATGGGGCTGAGTGAGTCCCTCAATGTGGAATTCAAAGGCTTCTTGTTCCAGATCATCGATGAGAAGGGCAACATCCTCCCACCCAACACTGAAGGATACCTTGGAATCAGGATCAAGCCCACCAGGCCTCTAGGCCTCTTTGTGGGGTATGAGGTAATGGCATCTCACCCCACCCTGCCTCAAGAATTCATAGAGGTTATTCTGCACCCTAAGACTTCTTCAAGCCTTTTCTTCCCTTCTGTATTTGAACATCACCTCACCCCCTCCCCATCTTCTGAGATTCTGACAGTGGATCCTTGGTGGCTTTGGTGTGCCCTACAAGTGCCTTGGGCTCTGCTCACTTTGCTACCTTATTTCTTTTCTCTTGGTACCTTATTTTTTTCAGTTGCTATATTTTCAGTTCCCTGGTTCTTTCTGTCTGTTTTAATATGTTTTTAAACCTTCTGCTGAATTCATTCAGTTGTTTTTCCATATTTGATCTTTACTCATTATATCACCTTGTTACCCACATATATGTTCAGTTATTATGTGTCAATAAAAAATACCCCTAGAGATTAGTTGTTGTCAAGGGATTAGAACTGGTGAAGGGAGAAGGATGGAGTGTATTTACCTTGTGAAGTGCCTTATGAAGCATCTCTGGCAATGACACTGACTGCCCTATAGGTTGATTACTATGGTAGGATGAGGAATTCATGTCTGTGAGCAAACTACATAACACACACACACACACACACACACACACACACACACACACACACACACACAATTAAACCACAGGAAATCTGAGAGAGATCAGAGATTGGATCAATGTCCATATCCTGACTGGAATATTGAACAATAACTTTGCAAGACATTATCATCATTTGGAGGAAATTAGATAAACGACATACAGGATTTCTTGGTATTGTTTCTTATTATTATTCCTCTTACTTTATGTTCAACTGTGTTATCATAGGAAAGCTTACGTTATGAAGCATCTGCCTCATGGGATTCACTTGAGGATCAGATTAGGTAGCACTTGGCGAAGGGAATCCCCTCATTCATGGTTGCTGATCCTCCTGGCAGTCCCAGCATTGCATATGTTGAGCTAAATAAAGCCATTCTCACTAGAATGAGAACTTTACTCTGAGGGAGAGTTCCACACAAGTAAGATGCTGTGTTTTAAGCATGAGCCAAATGGTGTTCGTGGGTGGAGCTACAAACTAATGTGTGAACCCGTCCAGATGTCAGGTGCAGAATTCAGATCCAGGCATGACCCCCAGCTCATCAACTCTGAGTTCACCATCTTCAACAAAGGCACTTCATTCTCTTTGCAGAATAACCCAGAGATGACGGCTGAAGTGGAATGTGGGGACTTTTACAACAGTGGGGATAGAGCAACTATTGATGAGGATGGCTACATCTGGTTCTTGGGCAGAAATGACGAAATCATCAATGCTTCTGGGTAGGCTTGGCTGGTCCTGGGCTACCTCTCTATACACTCAAATGCCTCGTGGCACCTTGCCTGCCTGCCATTCCTCATGCCTTGGTGACGGGACGAACCCTCAGCCTGACTCTGAAAAGAGCCATGCCTAGGATATCCTAATACCTGGGTGCCTGGACATCTCCACCATCCTTATAGTCAAAATTTTTAAATACAATGAAGTTCAAGGGGTAGGGTAAAACATATAGTTATGAGGAGGAGCCAAGAGTGTAGTGACACAGGCCTATAATCCCAGGTACTCAGAAGGCTGAGGCAAAAGGATCCTAAGTCCAAGGCCAGCCTGGACTACTTACTAAAACCCTATCTATCTCAAAAATTTAAAGGGGGCCTGGGGATACCCATGTGTGAGGGCCTAGGTTCAATTCCTAGAATCGAGAAAGAAAGGAAGGAAGGATGGAAGGAAGGAAGAAAGAGATAAAGAAAGGAAGAAAGAAAGAAAGAAAGGAGTGAGGGAGGAAAGGAGGAAGGCAGAGGGGGGGGAGGAGGGAGGGGCCTAAAAGATAAAATGGCACTCTGAGATGAGGGAAGAGAACACAGCATTTGCTAGGACACAGTTTAAGAGGCTCTGCTGCTGAGGAAGCTGCTTGGGCCAAATGCCAGAGCTCTGCTAGGAGCCAACACTCTTCTACCTCCCTCACCAGAAGTGCAAAGTGAGCTGTCCCCAGGAACACCCGAGCCAGATAGTTTTAATATTAGATTCTTCATTTTGAGGGTCTCGAGTCTCTGGCTGTCTATGACCTCCAACCTTGGTGTCAAGTGGCCATGTGACCCTCGAAGTGCAAGGCTTGGTACTCTGTAGCCCTGGCATCTGCTCAGAACAGTGCTTCTCCAGGTACCGCATCGGGCCTGCAGAGGTGGAGAATGCCTTGGCAGAGCACCCGGCTGTGGCAGAGTCAGCAGTGGTGAGCAGCCCGGACCCGAATAGAGGAGAGGTAAGAACGCAGAAGCCCATGTTGCATGCAGGGGCTGGAGTGAGAGAGGCGGGGCGACTTCCAAGGCCTTAGCATGAGCTGGAAACCTAGGAGGGAACACTGGTGTGAGTGTCCATTACACGGTGTGGTCACCAGGGACACTGTGTCCTTGGCGACTGAAAAAGGTTGGTATTGAGCAACCTGCCCTGTGCCAAATCATTTCACCCTTGAGAAATCCAATAGCCTGAGGCTTGAGATTTGGAGGGAGATATGAATGAGTAAAACCCATCACCCCAAGGACTCATCTCACATTCTCTTTACAGACAAGAAAGGCACAGGGAGCTTAGGTAGCTTGCTTAAGTCTTGCAATGAATAATGTAGGTCAGAAAGCCATGCAGTACATTTAAGATGCAGGCTCCCACCCTTGGGATAGCCCAATGAATTTTAGTTTCCTTTTTGTTGCTGTGGTAAAATATCCTGATGAAAAACAACCAAGGAAGAAAAGGCTTTATTTTAGCTTACAGTTATTGGTTACAGTCATCAAACACACATACACACACACACACACACACACACACACACACACACACACGAATGCAAGTTCCAGAGCATGTGTTCATTGGGTCAACAATGTCTATTGGACACTTATGTGTACCAGAACTTGTGCAAGTAAGTGGGAATATAACTAATAGTATAAAATAAATTATCACAACATTATTATGGCAATCATTGCTGTTTTGATTTATTATTATAATTATTATTGACCACTGAGTCCCAGACACAGAGGGGTTTACACAGAAAATACATATTTGATATTAATAATGGTGATGGTATTAATAACAAATTTATACAGGTCATGTGTTTCATACATACTCTGTGTTCTCATGGAATCTTTACAAAAACCCTTTGAGGAATGAGCTCCTATTGTACCCATTCACAGAGAAGGGAGTTAAGGTGAGGAGAGTCCGGGTGTTGTTTTTCTCAAAGCATGAAGTGGAAATGGGGCAAACACAGATTTGTACCTGGCCCTGTCTGTTTCCACATAACTCATCTCAAACATCAAGTCAAGCCTATGGTGGATTGTCCACCCAGTAAACATTGTTTAGCAAGCTCTGCGAGTTGGCACACACCTGTACCTCCATTCCCATTCTGCAGGTGGTGAAGGCATTTATTGTCCTGACCCCAGGGTTCCTGTCACATGATCAGGAACAGCTTACCAAAGAGCTACAGCAACACGTGAAATCAGTGACAGCACCGTACAAGTACCCCAGGAAGGTGAGCCCAGCTGGAGGACCCAGTTGGAGGACTTCAGCAGTTTCTGGGCTCCAGCTGGCTACTTCACCTCTCAGAGGGCAGCCATGGTGGGGTGGGGGATAGTTCAGTCAGCCAAGAGACTTTGTTTCTTCGGGAATCTCTACCCTGCGCCAGTAATGAACTCATCAGTGCATATTAACCAAAAGGAAAAGACCAGGAAAGTACCCAAAAAATGTATTTTTAATGTTATTTATTATCCTGTAAAATTTAAGAAGAAATTGAATTTGATACTTTTCAGGGTTTTTAATGTGATTCATAGTAAGAAATAAACCCTATCTTCCAACCCCAATAACATATATACATAATGCTAACAAAAGGAAACAAACTATTTATTCTTAGAACATAAAATATTATGTTGTTACATTTGTTTCAAGTGCCATGTGCAACATGCAATAATTAGTTACAAAATTGAAAAGTGTCCTGTAATTGAAGCAAGTAGTAAAGATTTTTTTTATTTTGCTTTATTTCACGTTCTGCAATGGAGGCTGACAGCACTGAAAGTCTCTTGTTCCTGTCTGTCACGGCTCTTCTATAACCTCTGCCCCACATCCCTCATCCTAGAATGTAGCTGCCACAGCAGTGCCTGTCTTGCCCTGTAAAAGATGAGGGATATTAGTGGCTGGCTCCAAACTCCACTGCCTGGAGAGGACAAGTTCCACTTCCACTCACAGTTCATAGGGCAAATTACATGATTATACCCTCCCTCGGGAATCAATGGAGCGCATGAAGGTGTCAACCTGTGGAGGGAGGTGGGGTGAAGCAGGGTGTGGGAACTGGAAGGAAACCAAAGCAGCCCTAAGTCAGGATGATTTTCTTCTCTACCAGATCGAGTTTGTTCCAGAACTGCCCAAAACCGTCACAGGCAAAATCAGAAGGAAGGAACTTCGAATAAAGGAGTTCAGTCAGAGATCAGCAACCAACCCATGATCAACCCTGTGCCTTGACACAAATCCTTGGCTGGTGGGAGTGGGGTGAACTATAGCAAGGGTAAGTTTGAAAGAGGAAAGCTTGTGTTTTCAAATTCAGTTACCACCTTTCCTGGGAGTCATTTGTCCTTTAGATGGCCACACTGAGCTCTCAAACTGGGTTTGTGAACAATAAAATACTAACCTGAAGAGCACCCTGTGTGGCCACTCATTGTGTGGATAGATGCCTTCCTTCCATTGTCTTTCCTACTTGTCAATCTGAAACCCCCCAGTGTTAGACTTTCCCTTTTGACAGCAGCTTCTGGAGGAACCTGTAGAGAGGTACAGAGGTACAGAGAGGTATGGAGGTACAGAGAGGAGACCTGGGCCAGAAGGAAGTCCACTGAGCTCAGCTTCAACTTGGTGGCAACACTTACCGGCCAAACCATCCTGTCCCTTCAACTTTGGATGAGTCCAGTATTTTTTTTTTTTTAATTTTTGCTCCACTCCCTAGCAATGCTGCTACTGCTGCTGTTTCCTAACTTAAATTTACTCTAAGCGAGTGAGCAGCCCAACTTCCAGGAACCCAGAAATCATGTTTATATCCTCTACCTTGCCCAGGGACCTCATAGCCTTAATCCCAAATTTTCCTCCACAGGGGACCATATGCATCCCTTCCTGAAGAACAGGAACACCCACCACCAGTCCCCCAGGGGTCCCACTCACTGTCATGGCCAAGATCCCTCTAGAGATAGGTACTCTTTTCTCCCTATAACCTCCTCTAGGGACCCAAAACCCACTTGTGTGGCACTCTGTTGGAGTAGATGCTGAATGACTACATAACCACTATTGGTGTCCTGTTAGCTACCAAATGGAACATGAGAGCCTGTGACTTAGGATATTTTACTAGGTGGTGTCAAGACGGACTTTGTTTTCATATATATTTGACCTGTGTCTTTGACCCTTATAGTTGAGGTTACTGCTCCCTCTCAGATAATGGTGGTTCCAAGAGTCACACTCTATTGCCCAAATTTTGAGAGTGAAGGGAAAATGTTCCAGAATTCAGAGATTGCTCTTTGGAAAGGATGCTTTGTTTGTTAGATTTTCTTTTGTAATAGTCATAACTATCAATTTTGTAAAATAATGATTGCTTTGTTGTGGTGCCCTTCTCCCATCTTTCTTTCTGTCTCCCCTCCTCCTTATCTCTGTTTCTCTCTGCTCTCCCACATTCCCCAGCCCTCTCTCTATCTCTCTGCTCCTGCTTTTTTCATGGTCAAGTCCAGGCTGCTGACCATGTTCATCTATTGCTTTCTCTGACTGTTCTCTCTCTCTCTCTCTCTCTCTCTCTCTATATATATATATATATATATATATATATATATATATATATATCTCATATGTACAAAAAAACCCTTCCCTTCCACCATCCTATGAGTGGCCATATTGTCCCCATCACTTTTTACCTGCAAAGCAAGAGCTGGTACACCAACACTCCTGCAAAAATTCCAGCATATCTCTGCATCTTAATTGACTTGGAAAAAACATCCAATTGAAGTGTGGCTATATGCATTCAAACATTAGGAAATTAATAGTTATTATTAGGATTCTTGTTAAAGAGAAAGTTCACTGCATGAGGCATTTTAGTTACTTTTTGTGATCTCCTATTTATGGCTTACATTATTGATACATTTGGACTTTATTCAATGATGTTGTTCTACTTTCTATTGCTGTGACAAATAGGCAAGAGATGCTTGGTGTCAGGACCATCAGGGCCTCCTTTCCTCTTCTCCTCCTTCCCTCACTCCATTCATGCATCAAGTGTCATATTTTGAGAATATCACAAATTGAATCCCAAGTATATGTCTTCTTAAATAGTTAACCATGACTGTCATTACCTATAATTCATTTTTATAGGTCTCTTTTTTTTCTATAAAAATCACACAGGACAAAATTTATGCACCTTTAATATATATTATGTCCGTCTTGACACCAACTAGTAAAATATCCTAAGTCACAGGCTCTCATGTTCCATTTGGTAGCTAACAGGACACCAATAGTGGTTATGTAGTCAGATGAAACCTGATGTGCAATGCCCTTCTGTATGCTGTGAATATGTTTTATTACCATTGGTCAATAAAGAAGCCGATTTGGCCAATAGCCAGGCAGAATAGAGCCTGGTGGGAAATCCAAGCAGAGACACAAGGAAAAAGAAGGCAGAATCAGGGAGATGCCAGCAGCCACAGGGGAAGCAAGAGCTATGAGCCTCAAAGTAAAATATGGACTAGTAGAAATGGGTTAATTTAGTTATAAGAGCTAGTTAATAATAATCCTGAGCTAACAGGCCAAAGAGTCTGTAATTAACATTAAGTTTCAGAGTGGTTATTTGGTAACTGGTCGGCAGGAGAGAAACCTCCAGAAATAGGGTGCCAATTTGAGGCATGTATATACACATAAAGAGAAAGTTAAAAAAAAGAAAAAGAAGATAAAAAGGATTCTAGACAAACAAAAACAGTCAGAAATGGCTTCTTGGTAGTCTCATTTTTTTCAAGTAGGCTCTGTCTGCTGGATGAGGACAGATGCATGGCTCCTTTAAGAGATGGCTACTGCATCACTCTCCCTGTGGAGTTGGGGAAGATGGGATGGGAGGGGTCCAGGGAGCATGGGAGGGAGAGAGAGGGTACTGGGATTGATATGTAAAATAAGAAATATATATATAGAGAGATAGAGATAGAGATATATGAGAGATGGCTTCCTGGTTAGTGCTGGCAGCACAGATGGCTCTTTAGGGAGGTCCTGCTATAGAACACTTAAACAGGGTTTATGGGCGGTACACTGTAAGTTACTTGGTGACTGTGTGGACCGGCTACTTCCCAGAGTTGTGGAGGTGAGCATGGCTCCTAGAGCTGTCAGTGAACTTAGAAATGGTTATTGGTTATAGTCAATCTCTTTCTAAAAGGGGGGGGGCAATATGATATGTAAATGATGAGGAAAGGGCAGATTATTATGATAATAAAAAGGGGAAAAAGGGTAGATTATTGAATGTACGTTAATACAAAAACAACTTTTAACCTCAGATCTTTTTCATTGGCATGAATTTTGGCACAGTGATACAAATTTCAAGTTAATATTGTTACACTGTATATATATTTATTCTTATTTAAAGGATTTTTGTGTTGATACAAATTTAAGGTCAATTTTGTTATACTATATGTATTTTTTTTCAAGACAGGATTTCTCTGTATTGTCCTGGAACTAGCTCTGTAGACCAGGCTGGCCGGAACTCACAGAGATCTGCCTGTCTCTGCCTCCCGAGTGCTGGGATTAAAGGCGTGTGCCACCAATGTGAGTATAGTTCTACTCTTGTTTAAGGTATTATGTTTATGTAGCTCACTTAAAAATGTAATGTACAGTTAAGAAATATAAGTAATAGTCATCTATAATAGTCAAACTTATAATCACGTTAGTTAGGTTTTCTAGACATGTAGAGATATATTTTAGATCGACAGGTAATCTTCAAACATTTCAAAGACCTAAAGAATATGGCATTTAAAATGTTTTAAAAACTTAGACTTTTCTCAACAATGAGACATGTCTGCTCCTGGCAGCCCCAATTATTTCAAGAAGATGATGGGCATTTCAGAAGCTCCTTATAGAGTTTGCTTTCAAAGTAGCAAGACTAGTCATTTGGGCAAGAAACTACTCTTGCCTGAACTGCTTGATGGTATGCTGTATAAGGTGGACATGTAGGACCCATAGAAAAGTAACTGCTGAACTTGTCAAAACAAGATGGAAAGGCCCTTTGGGATTCACGCTTCATGAAAATGTCTGCCAGATATTCTGAAGGATACAGAGGAAAATAAATGATAAATTTTGCCAAAATAGGGGAGGTCAGTCCTTCAAAGTTCCTGCTTCACTGAGAAATCTTTCAGACATTCTAGGCCTACAGGCTGAAGATAGATGTCCCAACATTACAAAAAATGTTGAGTAACTGTCCAGGCAGCCAGATATCTCTGTTATTTCTAGAGTTTTAGAAGTTGCTTACGAAGCACTCCTATTTGCTTAGGTAATATTATATTTTTCTGGGGTCTTTGATGGAGCTGAAGACTAGATAGCTATAATTATAGTTTTCCTTAATTATGATAAAGTACAAATTACATAAAACTTTAGACTCATAAAGACAAATATAGAGTGTTCCTTTAATTTGTCAAATACATAGACTAAAATTGTAACTATAATTCTTACTTGATACCTGTTTTTGTTAAATGTAATTTTACAATGTTAAAGTTAAGACCTTCTATTTTTTCTTTGCCTTCTTTTTTCCTTAATTTATTTTGTACATTACAATCCCAGTTCCCCTTCCCTTCCCTTCTCCCACTCCCCCAACTCCGCACTCCTCCCACCTGCTCCATGGAGAGGGTAAGATCTCCCTTAGGAAGTCTACTAAGTCTGTCCCATCATCCATTGAGGCAGGACCAAGGCACCTCTCCATCCCCACACCCTGTGTCTAGACTGGGCAAGGTATCTCTCCATATAGAATAGTTCCATTGTACATTAATGTTAGATCTTGAACCCACTGCCAGTGACTGTTACGAGTAAGGTTTTCCCCACCCGTCTGGTTCCACTGCCATGCCAGCCCCAATTAACACACAGAGATATTAGATATAATTCTGTTGGCCAGTTACTTGTTTCATATTGGCTAGCTCTATCTTAATTATTAACCCATTTCTATTATTCTAAGTACTTCCACGTGGTCTTATCTTACCGGAGAGAGGGGCTGGTGTTCTGCTCTCTCCAGTCTCTCCATGTTGACCCCTCCTTATTGCTTCCTTTTTCCTACTTGTCTCCTAGTCCTGCCTATCTTGCTTTCCTATTGGCCAACAGTGCTTTATTCATTAACCAGTATGAGAAACATATTAACAGAGTGACATCTCCCATCATCTCCTCTTTTCTGTCTAAATAAAAAGAAGTGTTTTAACCTTAACAAAGCAAAACACATAACACAACACTTATCAAGTAAGAATCACAGTTAACAATATTTAGTCCATTAACATTTGGCAACATTTGAAGAAAATATTCCATGATCTATTCTATCTTTGTGTGTATAAAGTCTATGTAATTTATCTTTAATCCTAACTAAGGAAAACTATAACCGTAACTATTTGTCTTTGACTCCCTCAAAGACAACAGAAGGATAATATATAAACTCTAGAAATGA